GCTAGAAACAACTTCTTTTTTAAAAACAAAGCTGAGAATAATCCTTTATATGTTTGAATCCCTGTAATCAGGGTACAGTGTTGGACCTTGTAAGTACCAGTAGCTGATTTGAAAGAGCAAAAACGAAGGCATGCTAATCTTCATTGGGGAAATATGAAGGCCTCTTATGTAGGAACTGGGAGAGATCAGGCTCCTCCAATAATGATTGTTTGAAAGGGCTTTGTAAGTAGAGGAGAACTAAAAGCCAAGCCTTGACTTTGTCGTATAATATTTTGGAACAAAACTGAGGCTTTTCTCACCAAGTGTAAGAAATGTGACTTGGCTGAAGGGAAAGACAGCCAATTCAGGGCTCCCCAAAGTGCAACCTCTGAAGTGCTAGAAAGTCTCTTGAATTCATCATGTATTAGATCCAGAGGCAAGACTAATGATTTGAGCAGGCCAGGGCTTGAGTCATCTACGCTTGCAATGAATGCCCTGAGGCTTTGTTTTCATGGCTGTGAACTCAACCAACAGGAATGTCCTATTAGTGTTTCAGGGAAGACAATATTATGGCTTGTTTGCATTGATTTTTTTCACGTTGAAATTTAAATTTTACATGCTTGTGACTGACTTGGAACAAGTTGCTAACGTGACCCTTGGTCACAGTCTGGGTGCTCTGGTCTTCCAACAGACCCACCAGCCCCATTTGAAGGAGGATGAATTACTACTCTTCTGAACTAGAGCATAAAAACCACCTCCAGCTACACAATCTCTTCTCATCCTCAGTGCCCTCCACAGAAATTGTGCAATATGGATCAGATTCCACTCTCAAACTTCCTCCTCTGTCTTCCCAGCCATCCTGATGGCTTTGGATCAGGAGGTCTCCTTGGTTTGGAGGACTTAATTGTTCACCTGTTTTGTGTCTTGTTTTCTTTCTTTCCTCACTTCTTTCTCCATGTCTTTCTCTTCCCTGTTCCTCTCTCTCTCCTTTTTGCAGACTAGTTCTACCATGTCTCTGATTTCTGAGCCTTCCCTGGAGCCAATTCCTATCTCAGCAAATACAGATTCAACCAACACTCTTCTCAATACAGCTTTACTGTCTCCATTGGTATACCATGCTACAGGCTACAACAGGGACTTGCCAGGCTTGCCAACACCTGGCCCCTTGGAGGTCCTTCATATTGAAGAAGAAGGCAGTAGCAGTACAGTTTCAGTTACACCAGGATATTCTGTCACCACTCCACAGCTCCCCTCAGTGACTTGGTTGTTGGGTCCTTCACACTCAGAAGTTGCTGCTGTTTCTGCTACTTGTATGGAGCAAATGGCTTCTGTGAGCCCAGTTCAGTTGAGCAAAAAATCTGACTCTTCTAAAGAGACATCCCAGTCTTTGCTAGCCTCCAGGATGGAATTTCTGTCTGTGCCCATGAATACAGAGGCCTGGAGTGAGGGACTGGATGAGACAACAGTCACTGAAAAGGAGCAGAGAGCTGAAACCAAGCTCTCAGCAGTTTCTGTTTCCGACACTGGCATGACTGGCCAAGCAAAGGTGCAGACAACCAAAGAATCAGAACAGCACAGCCTGTTCAGGGATAATTCAGCCTTTCCTTCCCAGAAGGAAGAGACTGTGGAAACAACTTTAGATAAGCTTTGGGCTCTAGAGCTAGCTATGCTTGCACCAGAAGTACATGCTGAAAACAACCATGTTGTTACGAAGCCTGTGTGTGAATCTCCCATTGTGGCACTGGACCGGTGGGATATTTTCCCAGATATTAAAAGCCCGTTGGGTCTTGTAGCAGAGCAAGGGCCAGTCCAGAATACTGAAGTTCAGCATGAAAGCAAAGCAAATGTCTCTCCTGATCTGGGTCAGAGGAGGCAGGGCAGAGACAGAACTCCTAGAAAATATGGTCCTCATCAGAGCAAGCCAGGAGAAGGTCAGGAAGGACAGCATTTCAGAAGCTCAGCAACCACTCCAGAGACTCCTGAAAATGTGTGGAAGGATGGATTGGACCTGCTCACTCTCTCCACACCACCTGTTCAGAGGATTTCTGCATCAGGCCAGGCAGGCATTGTGTGAATGTAGAAGGAATGGGACAGATCCTAACCATGATTTTTTGGTAGCACAGCCAGCTCTCTGTGCATGGTGTGAATTCATTTCGAGCTGTTTGATAGCTTACTCCAGACTAACAGCATGTTGTTCTGGAGCATTTGGAGTAGTAGTACTGACAGCTAGCATGGCACAGAGGTCAGGAAAGCTCCACTCATAGCAACTTTGTGGTACCTTTTTGCATGTTGATCAGCACTTGGTTACTTAAACACTACAGAACATGAGCAACCTCCATGTCTGCAGTCTATCTCATAGCTGGAATGAGGTAAGTCTGTGATCCACAGAGGCCCATCAGATGGAGCAGCTTCTTCCTAATGGCTGTTCAGACTTGAGATGGCAGTTTCTCACCTGCTGGCTTAAACATGAGCCTCTGAAGGTATTAACACTGGACCTCATAGTGTTTCTTTTGTGCTGGACAGAAGTGTCTGTGATGGGGAACTACCTTAACCCACACTTGGGTAAGGCTCAGATACAAGGCAGCTGGTATGGTTCACAGTAGTGTTGAAGTTTCCTTAACATCCAGCATGGGGGTCCTCTTGAACTGCAGCTTTTTACCTCACATTGTTGCTCCCTGCTGAATAATCTTTCCCTGCCTTTTGTAGCCAGAGTTATTTTTGGCTGCTGTGACTAGCTTGACTGGGTTTTTCCTTGTACTGAGTCACTGCTCTAGGGTGTGCCAAGAGGAATTTTGGCATCGTGGAATAAATGCCATCACTCTTCCTGCTCACAGTTGTCACTAATGGTTTGTTTGTGCTGCTGCTGCATCGTGGGGCTTGCTGTTGCAGTGCTCTTTTCATTCTGAAACTCCTACCTTGTCATTCAGATAAAATCTGTAATCAAGAGGACAAAAGAGACCTTAAATGTGCATCCAATGTACCGTGACCTTTCCCCAAGGCGTAAGTTAGGCCCAGCCATATTTCACAAGACTGAGTCCCAGGATCGCTTGATTGAAGAGCTACAAGACAAACTGGGCATCAGCAAACAGGAACCAGAAGAATGGAAGAGTCAGGACGACTGGCTGACCGAGGGGGTCATTATCACTGCCAGGCCACAGAGGGAGCAGCAAGATGGTGGACAGCAAGTAGAGAAGGTAGAGGGCAAAAACGTACAGTAGACTCCCGACTTACGCGAGTATTATGTTCCGGGGGAATTTTGTGTAAGTCGGGGCGACTTTCCCCATAGGAAATAATAGAGTAGTGAGGCGTTGCATGCCCCAGACATACCTTAGTCATAGTTTTTTCCCCCCCCTTTTCTCAGCGGAATCACCTTTAGGAGGCACGTCTCGCGCATCTTGAGATGCCACTACCACAATGGCGGCACAGCTCCTCTTGATTCCGCCTGCAAATCTTGTGAGACATTTGCGTATATACGCGAATCTCATGAGCGTTTACGTATATACGCAAATGGTGCGCATCTCAAGGGACATTTTCCAGTCTGGACCTTAATAAAAAATCTCCTAAATGCAAGACACGCTTAAGTTGGAATTGCATAAATCAGGGGTCTACTGTACTGGGTATTCCCATGTTCCTTGTAGAGAAGGACTATAATAGAGGTGTGATGTAGGTTTTTGAGTGGAAGAGACTCAGGATCTGACTCTCCTCTGTCCTAGCACTGGTTCCATTTGGATCACAGGAGACTCAAGTCCTAGCGTTAGAGTAAGTGATCTCTTAGGAGGATAGTGCTGTGTGCATGGGAGGTCTGGATATTACGAGACAGTCAAGTGGGTTTTGTTTTCTCTCCATTCTGGGGAAGCAAACCTGACATTTCTTTTCATGGCACTGTAGCTGGACATGGTGTTTTAGGTGTAAGATGCCCTGAGACTGTGATAGCCAGGCAAGTTGTTGCTCAGCATCTTTTCCAGACACTTTTTTTTCTCAGATTAAGTGCTGTTGAAAATGACATTCTTGCCTGTAATTACAGCTTACATTTGTATTCTGGTCTGTTGTGAAATAGTGATTGTGCAAGGGAAGTAGAGGAGCAGTGGGCAGTGAGCACTGAGTTATTGCCTGTTCTGTGCTGCCTGACCTGTTGCAGGAAGTGCTTATCAGTTCCTCTTCAAATTTGTTCACCTTTCTCCTTCCTTTCTTTCTAGGTTATAATTCCTCCAGAATCCCCAGCCCCCCTGAGAAGAACGGTCTCTGTTCCACCCTCTCCCCCACTTCAGCGTCCTAAAGAAGCAAAGATGGTCCCTGCCAAAGCCATTCCCTCTTCTTTTCCTGTTCTACCCCCACCCCCACCTCCACCACAGTCTTCCTACATACCATCTGCCCCAGCACCTAGTCCAGTCTCTGCCTCCTTCAGCCTGCCTCCCCAGCCTCTGTTCCAGTGGGAGACTTCTTCTGATGACTACCAAGAACTATCTGTTGTGGGCACTCCTCCTTCTGAAGATCCTAGATTCTTCCATCCCCCCCAAGCCCAGATTGTTCCTGTGAAGGCAGTAGTTTCTGTTGGGTGTCAGACTGATGCAGATCCATTCTTTCCACCAATGCAGGCATGCCTCCTTTCCTTCCAACTGCTCTGCTAAGTGAAGAACACAAGTTTTTCTGTTATGCCCAACCTCAACTCTTTTGAGTTAAGAGTTTAGAGTTTGGGTGAGGCCTGGCACTGATTCATTCTAGAGAAGACAGCTTCAGAGATATTGATAGCTGTTTTTTCTTGCCAATGTATACCTCTCTAACAGGGGGAGAAGTATGTGCATGTAATGATTTGCAATTGTCTATACAACTTCTCTGTCCATCTGCAGGCCATATACATGTGGGAAAAGGCCAAGGGTTTCACTTCTCCTTATTGAGCTGAAGGAATCCACTCCATTAGCTTAGGTCCCCATGCTCCCTTCCATAGTATGTCACTGGGGGTTTGGGGAAAAGTGTGAAGGAATCTCAGAACCAGAAAGAGAAGCTGAACACCCATTCCACACATTCCTGGGAGCCCATCTGTCTGGACCTGCTCAGTGAGGATTCAGAGGGGCTTGGGTGTGGTGCAAGGCAGTAAATAGCTGCCTTGACTGTCACATTCCTCAGGCCTAGTGGGAATGCTGCCTGAAATTTTGGGAAGTCAGAGCTCCCTGAGCAGGTCTGATTTAGTTCAGTACCAGGTGGGCTGTATGCACCAGCCAGTGCAGTATGGCTTCAGTCTCCGGTTGCAAGCAGGAGGCCCTTCTGCATCACAAATTGTTGTCATACTTTGCAGGTGATTTCTACTCCACCACTGGCTCGGCGTAGCAATCCTCTTGCCACTCGACCACCCCGTGGGCCATGCCCCCTTGAGAAGGCAGGACACCCTTTCTACTTCCTGTCTCAGCATGACAAGCTTTTAAGCTGCTCTTGCCAAAGCTGTGGTTCTGGCCTGAGCAGTACTTCAAGCTGTCCCTTAGACTGAGCTCCTGTTGCTGTGAATGCTGGATTGATGTTTTTCTAGGCATGGTCTACTGTGTTATGGGGTGTGTTGCTGAATTCGAAAGTAATGCCAGACCTTGTAAATTAGGGCAGGAATATGAAGAGCTTTTGCATGAGCATTTGTACGAAGTGTGGCTGTGGTGTTCGCTGATAGGACTATTCTAATGAGGCCACGCTGATCTGTTCTCTACAGAGTGCAGACATAGTGTTGTGCGTACAGGTTGCAGAACCATTTCCAAAGGAACTGCATCCCTCGGCTAGTTAAGGATGCTGTACAACCAGTACGGGGCGAATCTGTCTGGTCCTTCATTGAGATGATCAGTGCTTGCACAGAGGTCAGCTGTTGCTTGGTGGCTCGCATGGTCCCTTGGGCAGGAATGGGAGTGCTCTGCTGCTGTCACTTTGCATTCCATTCAGTACTGTCCTCTCTCTAAGCGATGCATCTCTTCTCATTTGTCCATTTCTAGTCTGGTTCTGCGCAGCCTGCACGATGGCCACAGGCCCCTGGCCAGGATGAGGAATCACGTGGTTCTCTTGATGGAGTCCCTCCTCTGTGCCCCTCCACTGCAGCATATGCGCAGCCACATGTTTGTATTGTGATTTATTTTTTTTTTGTTGTTGGCTCTATGGTGCTATAGGGATCAGATTGTGAAAGCAGCTGTCTAGTAAAAATGTGCTCCGTGCAGAGAGACCAGAGCATAAGGTGAAAATGTAGATTAAATACATAGGTTGTCCTCAACCTGTGCTCCTTTGCTGCTGCATTATAAACTGTCCAGATGGATTGGTACCAAGTATCCACAACTCTGTACTCTGTGCAGCTCAGGGTCAGGGCCCCGTCTGCTCTCCACTGACCACTTTTTTCATAGAAAGAAGTTCCCTCCCTGTAACTTTGGGTTTGGGGAAACTTCTACTGGTGCTGTAAATCTGTTTGCAAATCTGTTTTCAGAGGAAAGGTTTTGGGAGGGGAGGTGATCAGGATGGCAGAGATGCAGCTTTTGGCTGCAGCCTGGACATATTTTGTGATGCTGGACTGCTAGAAGTGGCTCTTCAAGGAGCGGCTGACAAGAGGAAGGGGGACTGTAGATAGGGTAGATTTGGTTTCATCTGGTTTCAACTACTGCTCTCCTGGATTCCAGGACACTGGTATGAGGCAGGAGGGGCAAAGTGTAGGGTGCAGACATTTGGTTTGTTGTTCTTGTCATTTTTTTTCCTATGAACAAATGGAAGCCAGTTCTGGACACTCACTGAGTAAGTGAGTCAAGGCCTAATGCCACTAGACACAGGATGGGAAGTTTTCCCCTTTGGGGATGGTGGCATGTGCCTCTCTAGCCAGTGTTGCAGAGCTCGTCTGCATGCCTTTCCCATTGGTTCCATGGGAGGAGCTCAGGTGTTAGATTGCTCTAGTCCTTCAGCCCTGCACATTTTCCACAGACGTGTTTGTTTTGTGATCATCTAGTTTCTCTTTTAATAAGAGACAAAACAAGTGTCCTGCATGCCCTACAGTTTCCCTGAGGGTATAGCATAGCTGGCACTCTTAGTAAACATGACTGCTGCCATTGCCCTCCAAGGTCAGTTAATATGACCTGCACTTTACATTCTAACAGGATGTAGAAAACTCAGAGTTCACCTTTGTAATGCTTAGAGGTTGGATGGCTTCAGTATCCAAATAGAGCCTACATTGTATATGTCTGGACACTTCCACTTCCCTTGTTCCCTCCTGCTAAAGGAAATGTATCTCCACCCTTCTTCCACCCTGCCTTGGTGGACAGTCTTTCCAAGTTAAGTACTTATTGGGATTATTCCAAAAGGGGGTGTTCCAAGATCTCTCTCAAGCTGACTCTATAGTCACATGCAGATCTCTTAAATGGAGAGTGCAGTGTTTCATGTCTACCACTCTCAAACTGCTGTCCTCCCCTCTCAAGCATACGCCTGGGTGCATACACATAGCAAATGTGCTGGCGCATCTGCAGGAAGAGAAACAGGTGATTGCTTGAAAGCTGACCCCCGTCCTTTCTTGCTCCTCTTACAGCTCTTGACGTAGCTGAAGCATGAGGTCAGAGCTACCCAAAGGCACAGAGGGAGCAAGAAACGTGCAGAGGGAATGGGAAGAAAAGGGAGGCAATGTATCAAAAAGCATGGACAAGGAGAGCTGGGAGAGGGAAAGCAGATTGTAAGGGAGAGGGGAGATTAGAAATGGAGAGACAGCAACAACTGTGTGAGACCAGGGAGGGGGGACAAGGCTAGGGAACCATTTGGAGCTCATGTCTCTCTTTGTAAGCAAGCCAGGAACCTATGAGGCAAAGGGAAAACTTCATCAGAGGCTTAAAGAGCATTGTGCTGAAGCAGCTGCTTGTGGTGTGCTGGTAATCTGCTTTATGGGAGGGAAAGGAAAGCCAAATCCCCACTCCCCAGGGCTCTGATGATATAGGTCCTGGGGGCTTTGTTACATCATGCTTGTGGTCAGCAGCTCACACCCTCATTTGGGCAGAGTGCATCTCTGCACCTGATCCGATTCTCACTGACTTCTACAGGCATGTTAGCCTCCTCTTAGTGGCTCCTGGTCTGTCCACATGCAGGGCAGCTGAAGACCAGGAAGGAGAGAGACTGCAGGACTTTTCCTGAGGAGCGCTACAGTGTTTACTTCAACATCTCTGGCTTCTTTCTGTTTACAGTTCATGGCTCAGGGGAAAGCTGGGGGTAGCTCCCCTCCAGCTGCACTCCCCAAACCAGGCAGCCAGTTGGACACCATGTTGGGAAGCCTCCAGTCTGACCTGAACAAACTGGGAGTAGCGACTGTTGCCAAAGGTGTTTGTGGAGCCTGCAAGAAGCCTATTGCTGGACAGGTGCGTCAGAGAAACCATCCTGTTGTTAAAATTTGGGCTACAGCTGGCTGTAATGGGGAGGGCTGTGTCAGAGATGAAAGGGACAGAAGATGTTGGAGAAACTGAAGTACTCTTTATCCACTGGCCAGGTATGCTGTAAGCTCCTCCAGTGACCTCTGCCCCTGTCCTTGAGGGATTGACTGCCCTCTTCTGAGATGATAGGTAATTCAGTTTTCATGCTATCCTAGTCTAGGGCTCACCTGAGTGGTAGAACTTCTCATTTGTGCTGACCTCCACACACAATGTCTTGTCATGTGACCTGCCCAGGCGAAGAGGTGGAGTCATCCTTCATAACTGCTCTCTTCCTTGCAGGTTGTCACAGCCATGGGGAAAACCTGGCACCCAGAGCACTTCGTCTGTACCCACTGCCAGGAGGAGATTGGGTCGCGGAACTTCTTTGAGCGTGATGGTCAGCCCTACTGTGAGAAGGACTATCATAACCTCTTCTCCCCTCGCTGCTACTACTGCAACGGCCCCATCCTCGATGTGAGTCTGAGCCAACTCCTGTGTCTGTGCATCAGCAGTAGGACTCTGTGGGGCTTGCAAAGGGAGAAGTATATTGCTGTGTTGTGGGCTTGAGTATCAAGTTACATAGGCACATCTCCACCTGTCCCTGGTAAAGCTTCTCTTGCCATCTTGGCACCCTTGCTTTTCCTGTATGCCAGTGTTTAGAGGGAAAAAACTTGGATCCTGCTTGGCTGTCTCCAATGTCTGTATTAGGGTCCTGCAGTAAGAGGGCAGGTTGTGCTTCTTCCTGTTGTAACTCAACGCAGTTATTAGGGTGTATCCACCTTCATTCCATGATATACACCCTGGCTTTTCTCACTGGGATACAATTTAATGAGGCATGATGGTGTTTCAGACCACTGCCTAGGGCCTGGTGTCCTGCCAAGGGTAGAGGGAAGAAGTAGTATACAGTACCTTGTAAGGGCAGTTGAAGCTTTGAGGAGGAGTCTCACTCAGCTGTTTTAAGCATACATGCGTCCTGCAGTCAGCTTTGCTGGTGGTGGTTTTCTCACTCCCTCTCCCTGCCCCCTTGTTCCCCCACCCCTCACTTGAAGCCACAGACTGACTGTTCATAATTTCTTCCAAACAGAAAGTGGTGACCGCCTTGGACAGGACATGGCACCCAGAACACTTCTTTTGTGCGCAGTGTGGAGCTTTTTTTGGACCTGAAGGTACGACTTGTGTGTGCAGAAAATCTGTTCTCTTGGATGGGAGATGGGAGCAACAAAGAGTTTTGATGTAAGGGGTACTTTGCAAGTAATGGAGAAAACTAAGGGTACTGAAGTAGAGGGCTGCAATCTGGGGTGGAAGCTAGCAGCAGTCCCTGCCCCTACAAGGGGATTGGAGGACATGAAGTGTGGGCAGAAAAATAAGGGATAACTCTGTCATCTTTGACTGGGAGCCCTAGCCATGCACTTATGCTCAGAGAGGCTGGCGGGGTATTTGCTTGGGTGAAGGTCAGGAACTGATGCTGTTTGGCTCTGTCTTTCCCTTGTGGCCTTAACAGGATTTCATGAGAAGGATGGCAAAGCTTATTGCCGCAAGGATTACTTTGACATGTTCGCTCCTAAGTGTGGAGGCTGTGCCCGGGCCATCCTGGAAAACTATATCTCTGCCTTGAATACTCTCTGGCACCCTGAGTGCTTTGTCTGTCGGGTAAGAGATCCCAGCCTTTTTCTGCTGTTATGTTATCCCTCTTGTTGCTAGTAGGTGGGTACTTGATCATTTTCTCTGCTGAAACAGGGGAGCCAGTTCCACAAGGTGCAGTGCATCCATAACACAGTGCTCTCTTACTCCTCAGTCTATGTACATCAAGCCCTCTAGATCAGCATTTGTCAACCTGTGGGTCATGACCCAAAAGTGGGCTGCAAGAATATATGAAAGGGTTGCAGAAAAACTTTAAAAAACGAATCAACAAACTTTAAAAATGGTTTCTCCTTTAAAGGAGGAAAACATGGGAAACTGTGGCTTTTCCCTTGCAGGCTGGCAGAGTTCCCCTTCCTACCCCACACACTGACCCCCTCCCCCACAGTACTGGGGGGCTGGGGCCTGGGGGCAGCAGGTCAGGAGCGAGGGGCACTGGGTCGGGACTGGCCACTGATGTTTACAAATGGGTTGTGGTACTAAGAAGGTTGAGAACCACTGATCTAGATGCCTCACTTCTTTTTCTTTTTTTGTCCCTTAGTTGTAATAATGGGCTTTTGTAGCAGTTCACAGATAAACTGACTTTTCCAGTGGCTTTCTTTAAGGACTGCCTTTCACACTTGCTCTGAAAACATAGGCTAATGAGACCTGACCTATGCAAACTAATGTGCAACCCAGTGAAATAGCTGTGAAGTGTGAATGCGCTATAGCATCAGAAGCTGTAATGTTGCAGATTAAATACCTGGCACTTTTTCAAAGAGCCTTGCAATATTAATTCTGCCAAGACCATTAGAAGTGGAGAGGGATTGGTCAGTATTTTGGAGAATGGAACAGAAGGGCCAAGTCTAGGATGAGAAACAGAATCTCTGAGCAGACCACTGGTCCATTCACCTCCCTCTGCTGCAGAGCAGCCAACTGTTGCCTGAATAAACTGTAAAGGACTCAGCTGACGCCACTTTAAAACTGTTTCTTAAAGACTCCTGCAAGTTAAGGCAGTTGCCACTAGCAAACTGACCATCTAGCAATTTGCTAGTGGCAGCCAAGAAGCCCCTGTATCCAAGTTCAGGCTTTGCTTCTGCATGTGAGATCCTGTCCTCTGTGCCTCATGCTGCCATGCTGTGTACATTTAACGGGGCTGGAAATGATACCTTCCAGATCTCAAGGGAAGGATTCTCCCCTTCTGTTGTGAAGGTCAGTTTTCAGCCCTGTTGTAAAAAATGGAGGGGAGTGGCTTACTGCTCTCAGCATCTGTTTTTGGAAAGTGTTGGTCCTTGGGGCCCAGTATCCCTCAGTGCTGTGGACAGCTGGAATCCATTTAGTTTCCCATGTGCAAGGATACATGCTTTATGTACATGCTGCTGGCTACCTGCATGCGTATCACAGTTTGCATGCGTCTGTAACTAGGTGTGTGTGTGCATTTGTGGCAGTCTGCTTGGGTCCGTGTCTGCCCCTGGCCCCCCACCCCCACAAGAAGAAGGGTGGCCTTGAGACTAGTGCACAAAACCAGGATTCTGGAGCTCTTGTATTCTCAGCTCTGTTGCTGACTCACTGCAGTCTCCCCTGCCCATGGTTGCCTAGTGCTGCCAACCACCATCTCCAGAAGCAGCCTCAGTATGACGAGGTGTGCCCTGCCTCTCACTTCCTGTAACCCAGCTCCTTCAGGGGAGGGGTTTGTTCTCTCCCCTGCCAACTCACTAGGGCTAGAGAGGCCTCTGTTGGTTTTTGCGAAGTGTTCTCAGTCACTTTGTTCTTGATTATATAGATATCTAAATATATCTAGATATATATATAGATCAAGAATGAAGTGACTGAGAACACTTAACAAGTGTGTGTATAGTATAGTATAGTATAGTATTTACACCTTCCTTTTGTTACTGAAGCTAACCTGGGGGACAGGAACTGAATTGCATACAGGGTATGGCTTTATTCAGCTTCCTGGCTGCTTCATCTGTCTGTCAGCTTCCAATCAGTGACCCCGTTTCTGTTGGGTATAGCCCAGCTCTTTGGCATCATGGTGTTTGCAGCTCCCTTCCCCCACCTGTAGCATATAGATGATTCCCACTTCCCACTTCTGCACTGGGCAGCTATGGGCCTGGCAGGGCACAGGCCCATAGGCACAGGCCCATCCACAGGCATGGATTGTGGAGCTGCCAGTATCCCTAGGTTGCCATGTCAGTCAGTGCCTTTTTGCTTCCTCCTCTTGCAGGAATGTTTCACGCCATTCATTAATGGCAGCTTCTTTGAGCATGATGGGCAGCCCTACTGTGAGGTGCATTACCATGAACGCCGTGGCTCGCTGTGCTCTGGCTGCCAGAAGCCCATCACCGGACGCTGCATCACTGCAATGGGCAAGAAATTTCACCCAGAACACTTTGTCTGTGCCTTCTGCCTCAAGCAGCTCAACAAAGGAACCTTCAAGGAACAGAACGACAAGCCCTACTGTCAGAACTGCTTCCTCAAACTCTTCTGTTAGAGCCATCATAGATGGGGAACTGAGCATCTTTCTGTCAGCCACTAGGCAGTCCAGTCTCTCTGAACATTACTGTGATTTAAAAACCTTACTTGGTGGGAGGGGGAGGGCAAAGGGTATGCTCAGTGCTGCTAGACAGGCAGTAGATCCAGAGAGACAAGAAGGACCATAAAACTGGAAATAGCCTTGCTGTGTGTTTCAGCAGGGAGATGCTGAGACCTGTCATGAAAGCTTGTGTGATTGTTGACAGCTGAGGTGGGCCTGAAGGCTTTGGCAAGGAGACTCCTTCCTCAAGGAAGGGGCTGGGTCAAGCCTACGTGAGCGCAGTCCAGCCTTGTCAGCTCTCTCTGAGCCAAAATGCAACGCTTCCAAACAGTGCGTTTGTTCCTTTGGTGACATTTCCCCTCTCTCTCTCTCTCTGGGACTTTTGAATACTGTGCAACCTGAGCAATAGCTGCACAGCAAGGGCTGTGCTGTGACCTCTGTGGTGCCCTGGCTGTGCTCAGTGGAACACACAGGATCTAGTGATCTTTGAGTGTTGGCCCAGGCAGCCGTAAAGACCCTGCAGTGACGTCCCTTCTGGTCCCATAACACTGCAGGGAATTGATGCCACTTGTTTTTCTTAAAACGGTTGCTCTGTTTTCTAGTTTCTATCATTTTTCCCTCTCCTCAGCATGCTGGAGCAGGACATGTGTGGAGAAACCCTTCCCTGCTCCCCCAGCCTCTGGCGGGAGTGTCACAGCCTGTATTCTGTGCTGTGCATCCTGTGCTCCCCACAATTGCAGAGGGCATATGCTCCCCAAGTCTGCTGCTCCCAGGAGGGAAGAGCAGGCTGGCAGCAACTAATTATTAAGAGCATGCAGAGAAGTGGGAGGGCTTGACCCCTCCACTCCCTGGTGTGAGTATGGCTTGTGTGGTGCATTTGGCCTGAAGCTTGCTAATTGAAAAGCCTCTCTGGTTCTTTTTTTCTTTCTTTCTTTTTTTTTTTTTCAAAGAGGCTAGCGAAAAACAAAGAGACTGGATCTTTTATTTTTCCTCTCTCTGCTCTTTGCTGATCAGGTCTGTCAGCCCTCCTTGATACCTTCCTTTTCCTTGCTCTGAAACTATGTTCTACTGAGAGATGCTAGAGCAATAATCTTTTATATTGACTGTTACTGGTATAACAAGTCCCTTGGGTCTGGTGTGCGTGACACACTTGGCATTTTGCTATCAACCTGAATACTGTATCCTGTCTTTGATAAGAACTGTAGGTTTCTACACTGAGGTTTGAATTCATATCTGATTTACTTTTAATCCTCTTATACAGAAATTGGTTTTGAAGTGATTTTAAGAAAGCAACTTTTATATCTCACTGTGCTATATCAGCCAGTGCATCAGTTGTGCTGGTTTACTGTGTCTTTAACCTCAATGCTTTGTTAAACCTGACTATTAACATTAAGTATTTTCTTTTTATTGGGAGTTGGGAGGGATCTGGAATTTGTGGGGAAGGGAATGTGACTTATTTTTTTCCAGCACAAGCCAATGATCTATGAATAGCGTTTTTTTCATGGATCACCTGGAATGATTTTTTTTTTTTTGTAACCTGTAAACTGCTGTATTTGAATGACCTGCCTTTCTCCTCAAGCCTACTTTCCAGGAAGCGAACGTGAGTCTTAATTCAGTGCTGCATACTGCAGAGTGGGAGAGCTCAAAGCTTCACCTTGACAGTTTCCCTTCTCTTCAGCAATCAGAGTGAAGGGTGAGTCCTGCCCACATGAGGAAAGGACAGCCTTATGGCTAAATGCATAGGACCAGGAATCAGGAGATCTGAAATCTGTTCTTGACGAGCTATATAGTTTTGGACCTGTTGGCTAATCTCTCTGGGTTTTGATTTCCCCCTCTAGAAAATGGGGACAGTGGTCCCCTGTCTCATGGGGTTGTTGTGAGGCTCAATTCATATTTGCAACAGTGCTTTCAAACCCTTAGATGGAGGGTGATATAAAAAGGTAAAAAGTATTACATAAAAACCCTGCAGTGTTCTACAGTAATAGCCAAAGCAGCAGAAATAAACAGAGTGTTTTGTAGCATTACTCTAGAAAGCTGGAGTATGTTTATAATTAAGGTGTATAACATTAAGATGGTTAGTTTTGAACTTGGAAAAGGCACAGAAAGTTTTGAGATCCGACTGTGTAAGAAACAAACCCTTATTTTAACAGAGAGGTCCTCATTTCCTATTTCAAGTAACCTTCTCTCAGTGCTTCACTATCTTGCTTGAATAACTGGTTTCCCATACAAGTGAGCCTCAGTTTGTAGCTGTGAAAGTAATGGGGTTTGAGGAACAAGTGGTAGAACTAAAAGATACTTCAGCTGGGCTGAACACAGCCTTTGGAAAGTTCACAAGGCAAGAAACAATAAGTAAATTGTTTTCTTTTTGAAGTTAGGTTGACTTGAAATGGGGATTTCTGAGCTTTCTTTGTGGCCATGTTGCTGAAACTGACACTTGTTCTGACCTGCCTGGGAGGGGGAATATCCTTGTGGTCAGAGCACTGGACTGGAAATCAAGAGATCAAGGTTCTGTTTCTGGCTCTGCCAATTTTTCTGTGATGCTCTGTGTAGCCTCTCTGTGCCTCAGTTTTCCTATCTGTCAAATAGGGATAATAATACTTAACCTACCTCACAGGGGTTTTGAGGCTCAGTTCACATTAATTTTTTTAAGTGCTTTGAGAACCTTTGATGGAAGATGCTACAGAAAGGGAAAGTGATGTTGCAGTATGCCATGTCAGCAAAGCAAAAAAGGTTTCATACACACTCCCTCTAATAAAGGTTTAACAATCTCCCACAATGCGATGCTGCGGCTAGTAAAGCGACCAAAACGCTGGCTTGCATCCATAGATGCTTCTCAAGCAAATCCCGGGACGTCATTCTCCCCCTGTACTCGGCCTTGGTGAAGCCGCAGCTGGAGTACTGCGTCCAGTTTTGGGCTCCACAATTCAAAAAGGATGTGGAGAAGCTTGAGAGAGTCCAGAGAAGAGCCACGCGCATGATCAGAGGTCAGGGAAGCAGACCCTACGATGACAGGCTGAGAGCCCTGGGGCTCTTTAGCCTAGAAAAGCACAGGCTCAGGGGTGATCTGATGGCCACCTATAAGTTTATTAGGGGTGATCACCAGTATCTGGGGGAACGTTTGTTCACCAGAGCGCCCCAAGGGATGACGACTAGGTCGAACGGTCATAAACTACTACAAGACCATTTCAGGCTGGACATAAGGAAGAATTTCTTTACTGTCCGAGCCCACAAGGTCTGGAACAGCCTGCCACCGGAGGTGGTTCAAGCGCCTACATTGAACACCTTCAAGAGCAAACTGGATGCTTATCTTGCTGGGATCCTATGACCCCAGCTGACTTCCTGCCCTTTGGGCAGGGGCCTGGACTCGATGATCTTCCAAGGTCCCTTCCAGCCCTAATGTCTATGAAATCTATGAAAACATTATTAGCTAAGCAAAAAGTTGAGAGCTTTTCCTGGGATTTAAACTGGTTTGTGCTCTTCCATATTGGGATGATGTATTCATGGTTATCATCAAGTGTCATTTTCCCTTAAGATGTCTGCTGCCAGTAGGAGGGCCAGAAATGCCTATTTTTAGTAATAATTTTAGTGCAGTTTAGAGTGGAACATTGAAGATGCTTCATGGAGCAAACTGAAAAGATCTATGTGCTAGGATTGCCCCAGGATGATTGGCAGTATCTAGCAAGTATACACCTGCTAGATACTGATAGTGCTAGAGGGAGAACCAGCAAGTTGTAGCGATGCGCTGTTGCAGTTACTAGGACATGAGGGAGAGGGTTTTGGAGGGGGGTAGGCAAGTATGTGCCTTTGGAAGGCTGCAAGATGTTGTTGTCTAGGGCTTAAACTGAATACACCAAGGTGTACACAGTACACATCCTCTCAGAAGAGCAAAGGATCTGTATGTGGAAGGGTTTTGGAGCTCCACACTCAAGGCAAGTTAAGCTCAGACACATCACTGTTTCTTTGGAAGGTGGGGTTTTTTTGGGTTTTTTTAGGGCTATCATAACTTTCTTTTTAAAGGCCTTAGTGCTCTGTTTACAGTGATCTCCTAATCTGATGAACTCTTGCATTACAACCAGAGAGCTATCAGGATAGGCAGGTCTCAGTCAAATCATGTCCTGACTGGTTTGGGGGAATTTCCCCTCTGGGTCGACAGTTATCTGTTTTTTTTCCCCTTTGTAAACTTCTAACTCTGCTTTTTCCATTTAAAATTCCTGCAATTATGCTAATAAAATTTTTACCATTATTTTCACTTGAGTTTGTTTCAGTCCTCTGTAACCCCAAAGCTTGTGAAGTGGTCCAGAGCACTGCTGGTGCATAACTTCTCTTGCATTCCACAGTCCAGAAATCAAAATGACGTCTGGCAACAGCAGAGAAAATGTGTTAGAAACTGCAAACCTAACTGCTCAGTCATAGTTAGGGTCAGCAAAAGACATTTGTGGGCTGTGCAGCAAGCAGGCATGAGTTGGACACCTCTATTCTTCTCTTAGCTCCTTGCCTCAGTGGAATATGTTGATCTTATTGTGCCCCAGCGCTATTTAATAACTACCTGTCCAATGGTGAGAGAGTGTACTGCACAGCCATTGATCCTCAGACACAGGACTGACCTTGCTGACTGCAACCGCAGATAATCCACATTTGAAACTCCTGGGCTGTACAGCAATGCCCTGGATGTGCATGTGTGCAACGTGCATCTGTGCTTCTACTTATCCTGTCATTCCATGTGGCACCTTTGATATATAGGGTGTGTGCAGAAGAAAAAAATACACAAGTTCAAACAGAAAGCATAATCTTTGACTCAAGTAGTTCAGTCTAATGGGGCCTGTACAGTGCAATCATAGTCACACAAACAGCAGACAGAAAGGCCTAGCTTTGGGACTGGGACCTTCACGAGATATGAAGCAAATGAAGACAGGGCCTTGAATATGACCCTGCACACAATAGTATGCACAAATAATTCAGAGAACTTGAGCTCACGGGAAAGCTGTTTTTAATAAAGAATAAATCTCCACCCCCTCTTATGGAGGCTTGAGTTAACTCCCAGTTTGCCCTAAGAGGAACTGGTTTAATCACTTCTCCAGATCTCTGAGTAGAGGATATGAAGAAAATGAAGTGGCCTTTATAGTCTGCAACCTGAGCTAAGTTATTAAAATTCCCAAGTCGGAATCACAGTGTACCAGCAGCTTCTGGGTGGCAGACAATAGCCCAGACACAGTAATGCCTATGATTAAAATGCTCCCAAGTTGGTTAATCCTTGGCTGTTGACACTGCGTGCATTATATGTAGGAAATCCAAAGGTTTTCTGTAAGTGTTTAAAGTCCATGAGTTAGAACTTACGACTACATGGAAGGCAGAGTGCAGTTTTCTGAGTACCAGTACTTGACCCTGTTCATACACTATTTTCTCATTAAATGTGTTGCTTAATATACTGCTGTTTTGGTTTAGCATAGCCTCAGACCACAAACCACCCAGCTTGTTCCTGTTGGCATGTGTGTCTGGACTCTGGGTTGTGGAATAAGGTTTCTTCTTTTTTTTTAATGTATAAAAAAAAAAGCTAGCTTCTCTATTTATTTATTTATTTTCACTAGCCATTTCCTCCTGGCCTAGGATTCTAGGTAGAGAGATTACTTCACTGTTGTATTTAATATAGAGGGTTGCAAACGCCATCATACAAGCAGTCTGAGTAGGAGCAACCTTTTTGGTCAGAGAGAAATTTGCATTGTTTAGTCTTCTGTTTTCCATTTGTTTCTTGGCTTCCCTGATGCCACTGCCCATGGGAGAAGCACTACAGCTGTCATGAGGTGAATGTTGTGACATGAATACCTGCTGCCTATGGATACTTGATTAAGACTCACCAGTTCTTCTCACAGGCACTAAACAAAAGATTACTATAGATTTTCAGACCTACCGTAAATCACAAATAGTTTTCAGTAACACTTTCTGCTTTCTGACTTTGTTC